TGAACTAATCAGAACAAATCACTGTTCTGCTCATTTGACTAACATATGATGTTGAATATGAAGCACTTCTTAGTGCATTAATCTGCATGGTGGCAGTGACTCACCAGCAGGCTTACTTTATATTACCTGAATTGCCTTTCTGTCTGCTGGGGCACAGCTTTCTGATTTTGCACCTGAGAGGAGTGAAACAAATTAGGAGGTGTCACTCTGTTGCTGGTTCTCAGAACCAAACACAACTCTCAAGCCAGTTATGTATGTAACTTTAAAATATTTACTCAAGTATTGTACTGAAGTACCTTTTTGAGGTACTTATACTTTACTTGCATTATTTTAGATGAAGTTACAGAATATGAAGTAATTAAAATTAGCTCCTCCCTTACCAAATGGATGGTAAATGGACTACCTAGCGCCTCTCTAGTCATCCGACCACTCAAAGCTTGTTTGAATGTTTATATAATTCATCTGTTTAAATTATATTCAGTTATGCATAATTTAGGGGATGGTCACTTTTAATGACAGGTGGCTGTTACGCACCACGAACAGAATTTGCCGATTTTTTGATTAGCCAGGAGCCAACAGAGTCGAGACTGCCAGGGCCACCACACTTTGAGCTTTACTCTTTACATATTTATTTATTTATTTATTTTCTCAACCACATCTCATGGTTTTCCTCAGTACATGAAATTTGCCCTGTTGTCGTGGAATTGTCTTCACATGACTTTTACCAACTCCAACCACTGAGGAAGACCATGAAATTAAGTTGGAAAGTTCTAAAAAAAAAATGCGTCAGAAGAGTCTCAATAGACAGTGGACTGACATTTTTTTTTATTACTTCCTACTTTCCTCTTCAAAACTAGTTTTTCTTCCACAAAACACATGTTTTTCTTTCAGCAGAATCCAATCAACAGAGACGTAATAGTTGCATTACTGTGAAAATGAAGCTTCAACTGTTTTCACACCTTGGCTGTGAATTTTCACAGAAATCCTGTTGTTCTTTGCTTGTATTCAAATGAGCTCCACATTACACCACACAAAATATTACTGAGAAAATGCAGTCGATATACTTTTAGATTACTTAAAGAAATGTCTTTAATTATATTTCAATTGATGGTTTGTTCAGTGAAGGAAGAAGTACTCAGATCTTTTACTTAAGTAAAAGTAGCAATAGCACATCGTACAAGTAAAAGTCCTGCATTACAAAATGACCCATCTGAGAATTCAGATGAGAATTGATGCAGTAATGTTGTGTGATGATGCAACTAGTAAAGGTGGGTTTATTGTATTTCTTCATATACTGCTTGGTAGTTTAATCTGCTAAGTAATTAGCAACTAGCTGAGATGAAGTATACGGTTGCAGACAATGAAATTACCCAACAAGTACTTTCAAATTTGACTTCTATTTGGTTTGTTTATTTTTAAGTGTACTTTTTCTTTAGTTCAAATGTTAACAAGTTCATGGTACTTACTCAAAGAGAACTCCTGAGTATAGGATACTACTGCACATACTGACTCTAAAACCTACACCTCTTGTACCTTAAGTGCCTATTTATAATATATCACAGTGTCCATGAGGTCAATGAGGTTTTATCCAAGCACGCTAGTTTTGATGATATAGACACAGCACATTATGCAAAATAAACAAGGCTGTCCTCATAAACATAAATTGGAAAGGATCTGCTGCTAAAAAATGCTTTTACTAATTTGCCCAAATACATATGGAAAAAAAAAGTAATATTTACCAACATATAATAGACACCTTGGTTCATACTGAACATACAGTATGCAGTGCAACGTTAATTGGCAGTGTTTTTCATTTGTTTTCCTATAATATTTACTTGTAGCAAACAAGCCATAACCTTTGTGGTTGGCAAATGAAGCCAAAAAAAGAAGTAACAAAAACTGCACTTCCTCTAACGTCCACTTGAGGCTGGCTCCAGAAGTTATCAATCTCCGCAAGGCCCCACATTAAAATGCCCAACTTTAGAGCAGAAATAAACATGTTTACTGCCTAGTACAAAAAACAATCGTTCTCTAGCTAATTTCCCATTCATGAAAACACAGGGAGTGAATTTTAAGGGTTTTTTTTTTTTACATAGGATTGGTTTTGATTTTTATCAGGATAGTCTTATTTTTTCCATATTTAACTTTCCCTGGCCTTTATCAAAGTGTTGTTGTCGTCTAAACCTAATAATATGCTGTAAAACATATTTTTTAGTTGACTGGTCACATCACTGGTCTCATACTTTATTCTGCTGTGCAAATTACTGTAATGCATGACGAAAACAACTTCAACAAGTGGGAAAATATTGTTGTTGACTTGGAGGTACTTCTTTCTTGGAGAAGTGTCAACATGTGTTCACATTGCAAATACACAATGTTACCAAAGACAGATAATAATAATAATAATAATAATAATAACTTTATTTATATAGCACCTTTAATACATGCCATGTAGCTCAAAGTGATGTTAAGTGTGGCATTAAAACAAAACACAATAAATAAAAACAAACACATTAGGTGGAATATATGCATAATATACATAATAAAATAGCTGAAAAAAAGCACATTAACTAAAAGCCTGCCTGGCTTTCATGGTAGACTTTTTCCGTTTGTGGAGGGAAATATTCAGTCCTGTCACGTTTTCTTCGTATTTTCATTTAGGTTACAATCGTATTTGTCTCAACTTTGTGAATTATAACCTAACCTAACCAACCAGTGTGTGTGTGAGCAGGCACTGAGGTCTGAGTGCTTGTTATGCAGCAGTCTGGTTTTGGCTGCACACAATTTAAAAGTAAACAGTGTGCAAACACACACAGTAATGGCATGGCAGTGTTCAAATTAGAGGCTACAGATGGAACATACTGTATCTTTCCCACTGCCTTCACTGGGCTGCAGCCATTCAGTCAGCTGAAGGGGAAAACTTTTATACAGAGTAAAAAATAGCTTTGGATGATCATCCATTCATCTTGAGCTCAATACAGGCCGCTTCACTGGCATTCTTGATATAGCCACATTTAAGTTATAATTTTTGTATTTGTCATAAGACGTCTATTTTTAGAACAATGTCAGAGAAGGAAACTCCCAGATCTTTGTGCTTTTCCATCAACAGTTGTTTGTGCTGTGCACAGGAATTGCTTTCACTGCTTAATACTTTGCTATATGGTTGGCTGTGCAGGTGCAGTTAAAACCTCAACAGTAGTGATATGTGAATAGAATTAGATTCATGTTTGTGGTGCAGTTTACTAAAAATCTGCAGAATAATGAGGCTTGTGGACTACTGTATTTGAAATGAGTAAATTATACGTAGAGCTGATATATTTAATCAGTCAATTAGCTGATCGACAGAATATTAAGCTGCAACTATTAGATTATGAATTGGTTGCTGTCATTGTTTTAAAATGTAAAAATGCCAAAAGTTCACTGATTCTAGCTTCTCAGATCTAATAAATATTTGCTGGTCTTCTGCTTTGGAAAACTTTATTTAGTTTGCTATCAGTTCATTTGGGGTTTGGACTTTCAAATAAAACAACTAATTTGAATGTATCAGTTTAGGCTTTGAGAAATTGTTTTGTGTATGTTTCACTGTTTTATAACATCTTATTTTCCAAATGATTAACTGTGTGAAGGTGCTCTACCAGTGGAGAAAACATGATGCAGTGCCATATAGGCTGCCCTACATACTAGTCAAATCAAGTTGGACTTTATTTATACAGACCAAAGGGACAAATCTCAATTTGCCTCAGGAGGCCTAGAACACCCTGTTATTTCTTTCAGACGTGCCCCACATTTAGGGACAGGCTCGTGCATTCATATCTTCCAGACGATAAAAAAGGCACTTGGTTGACCAAACCGGTACTCTTAAATGTATGCATTGCCCTCACTGTGATAATGTCTTGGAAATTAAATACTGGATTTTGCTGATGTCAGCACAAGCAGAACTTGTAAACACTGCGATTCCATTAGTGGTAACACCACTTTTGTATTTATTTTATTTACCATCTGCCTTGTCTGTGTGGGAGGGTTTTTCTACATAGGCCACACTAAAAGACATCTGAGGGATCACCTTGCTGATCATAAATATGCCATTAGAATTAGGGATCACGAATCATGAATTTCACAATGCTATGATTTTGATAATTTTATGCGGCTAGGGATCATTGAACACGTCAAACCTTTGATCAGGGAAGGAGACAGGATGTAGAATCTTAAAGGACCAGTGTGTCGGATTCAGTGGTATCTAGCGCCGAATTTGCAGATTGCAACCAACTTGCCTCACCCTCCAGTTTCAAGTGTGTAGGAAAAACAGCAGAGGCCTCGACACTCTTGAAAAATGCTAAAGGACCTATCCACAGCCAGTGCTTGGTTTGTCCATTTTGGGTTACTGTAGAAACATGGCAGTTGAACATGGCGGTGTCTGTAGAAGAGGACCTGCTCATTCTAACAAAAATACAACATTTCTTATATTCAGGTGATTATACAATAATGAAAACATACCTATGAATATTATATTCCATTTATATTCCAATAGATCCTCCTAAATGGTACACACTGGACCTTTAACCAAAGGTAAACTTTCTGGATCCACTGACTGGATTCAAGAATCCTGGTCTCAATGAAGATATAGACTTAACGTTTTTTATAGGGGGTTATATATATATGTTATCTCTTATTTGTTTTACCTGTTGGGGTATTATCTGGGTCAAGTGACCAACTACCATTGGCTGTTGCTTCTATATACAGGTGAGGCCACACCTGTGTTGTTTGTTTGTTTGTTTGTTTAGGCTATACCCTGACAAAGACCTACACTGATCGCAACATTTAAAAAAAATAATGTATCCATTACAATAAAGGCGTATTAACATCATCATCGTCAACACATGGAAAATATTACTTCTAGGCTGGCACGTAGCTACAATCTTTACTTATCTTTGTTAATGAGCTAAACACCCTGTCAATAGACGATCTTTGTTTCGCAGCAGCAGTTGGCGGGCGCATGCGCGGCCGCAACCTCCGCTCCCCCCTGCGCTGAGCGCTGACAGCAGGCTGGCCGGAGACCGCTGCTGCTGCTGCCGCTGTTGTTGTTGCCTCTTCCGTCGCCGCCGGCTTCCACTCCACGTTGTGAGCTGCTGTCCGGATACAAACTGATATCAGAACGGGACTTAATTTCTGTTACAGGAAACATAAAACAACATCAACAAAGTATTTTTTGGACACGCTGACCGCCGAGCTTTCTCCCCTTCCGTCCTGCTCCCGGAGATGAACGGGCTGTCGGTGAAGGTAAGTGTCCGCTTTTTGTGACAGTTTTCGCTGCGGAGGAAGAGAGGGATGAACGGGCGGCTGCTGCCGCTTTTGCTGTCCCGCACGGCTCGGTTAACTTCAGCCTTCCTTCAGCTCAGTATCAGGACTGCCTGTGTGTTAATGTGTGAATGTAGATACTCAAGAGTCTTCCTTTGTTAACGGGGTGACAAGAATAAGGGCAAGTTTTCCTCTGGTCGTCCGTTAACCCCCCCCCCCCCCCCGGAGCCACGGAGCACACTGACCGTCCTAAACGTGGCTTTATAACTTTGAAGGGGGGAAATGACTTTCATCGTTTTTTGGTGGAGACAATAGCTACTGTTGCAAGAAGCCCAGGTACCTGTTACTGAAATTAAGTTCCCATTGTCTTCAGTTGAAGTTGTCGCTAAGGACAAAACAGCGTCCATATTTGTAGTAAGTAGGCCCCCAGAGCGCTGATGCACCTGCACACTGAATGATTTATCAGATAGCTTGTAGCTTTCCACTTAACATAATCAATAGTTTACAGCTCAACCTCCCAACGCTGGCCACAGTTGAGATTTCCAGTTTGGTCAACTTGGCCAAATAACTTGATATTGATACATATCAGTGTAGTTTGATGGTATTATGGTATGGACATTTACACGCCAGAAATGTGTGAAAGAAAAAAATCACAAGATACTATTGTCAATATCATTTACTGTTTGTTTGATCAGCTTAACATTCAGTGTGACTGAAGTGATTTGAAGCAGGGTTCAAATGTGTTTTATATTAGTTAATATGCACATGCCCATAGACATCCCCTTTGCAATTATTGTAATTGTAAAATGTTTAGTCACCTTTTGAATGTAATTTTGCACAGAGGGGACTGTGGCTTTTGTCCCCATCTCTCCCATTGTATTCATACTAAGAAGGGATCTTTTCACAGCTAATGTGGACACTGAAGGAATGACTACAGCGACCAACTTAATGTACACATGGACATGGGAGTATATAAAATGGACATGGGAGTATATAACATTTCTTCTTTAAGACCAGGAGCAATAATGCTATTGAGTGATTTACAAAAAACAAGAAATGATATTGCTGTATCACCCAGCGATAACAAATTCTGACCAATTGATAGACCTACTAAAACCAGCAGATGATGAATAAACACTGTTTACATGGACAATTCAGGATGAAATGAGAAACTGGGGGTAGTGAGAGGTTAAACCTTGGTAGCAGCTTGACCTGCGGAGATCTAGATTATTTCTGGGCATTGAACCTAAATCCTTCTGTAGCTGTGACTATAGCAAGAATCAAAAACTGTCAAGTACCAAAATCCAAGTTTCTAATTAGGGCTGTATGAGAACTATTGCAGTTATTTTTAATAGATGTTGTAATTGCGATATGATTACTGGGAATGGTCATTTCTGCTTTAAAAATGTAATGTTTATAGAGAAAAACTATTAGAATCATGATGATGTAAAATGTTGGGGGGTCTGTACCATACAGACATGAGAAGATTTGTTGGTCAGAGCATCTTTACAGAATTACAGTACTTCATTATAAGGCTGTTTTGTCACACATTTTACCTTTTTATCAAACAAATTTTGATATTCACTTGACAATTTTGCAATTTCAATAATATTTTTTCATTGTGCAGCCCTACTTCTAATGTTGTTTGTTGTAGACTGTGTTTGGTTGAGCCAAAGTTCATGTGTGGCTGCTTATGTTCAGAGGAGGGTTTTATAGGTATAATTTCTGTAGGTATTATGTTCATATTCCTCAAAGTAAGGAAACAGGAAAGCAAACACATTTTGGAATTGTTACTGACACTCAGGTATCATATTGGTAGCCTGATAGTCAGTCTTAATTCATTAATCTATAGTCAGTGATTGTACCTGCAGTTCTGTTTTCAGACACAGAACCTGTGAACTGTAAGTGTTGAGAGCTGCTGTTTCTGTGAATCCAACAGCTTGTACAGCTACGTCAGTCTCATCCACACTTTCCTGTTGCTGCTGTTCATTTTTCAGAGATGTGTGAAGTGAGTAAGAGGTCTGGAACTACTTTATCAGCCCTAGTATCAATTGATACCGAGCCCTATTCACCATGCCAAAAGGACATTTCTGTGTCGCCTATCTTAGTCAAATTGTTGCAAACCAACTGCAGTTGGAGTTAAATGAGGATCTGGCAATGTAATGTGGCACTTACAGTGGCTCTCCTGTTCAAGTTTTACAGCTTCAGGTTTCAGGCCCGGTGTGCTCGGTAAGCAGAGTGAGCACTGGCCGGAGCAGGTGGCTCTTCTGAGCCGGAGGAATGTAAATAGAAACGGTAACTCGAGCCTAATGTTCATCCGCAGCCACCTCAGGACCATCTGCAGCTAAAAGTGTTGACGAGGATGCAACGCTGCTCTTGTAAATTAAGCTCAAGTGTGTGTGTGACATTTTGTTTTCAATTATACTTGTCCTGCACTGTGTGTAAGGCATACATAAATGTTTTCCTAACAGTAAATCCTCAGTATGGACTGACTGTCAGAGATCTGACCAGTGTGTTCAAGCCAAAAGTCACTACAACAGAGCTCCCAGCAGCCTTTTAGCCAGGACAATTTGGAAAATGTGGCACTCTGATTATCAATAGCCTACCAGGTTCTTTGTTTTCTTACTCAAAATACAGACCATAGGGTAAGAAAGACTAAGATGTAGTGAGCAAAGATGGACGATTTAATATTCCATAGCTCTGACTTCCAAATCTACCTGACATCGCTATTGTTAACACCACAAAATCAAACAGTTCTGACTCTTCAGATGTTCTTTTTTTTTTCTTCTAGTAAACTTGATCAAAAAACTTAACAAACATACTTTGGCTTGAATTGAGCATAAAGCCTATCATTGTTTTGCATAATAATTCAAAATAAGTTGTTATTATTATAATTTACCAGGCGTCAATTGACAGAAAACAACTCAATGGCTAATGTGATGATTGATTAATCATTCGACGACATTGGTCGACAGATGTTTGCCAGCTGTGAGAGGTGGAAACAAATGACAGGTGGACAATGAAAACTTAATTTCATCAGCATATGATTTATATGTGGCATGTGGTATAGAACGAGACACAGTATCAGTTTGCATTCCTCTCCAGTATTGATTAGGCTATTACATTTAGATATACGGTCATTTTTCAATGTAGACTTACATCGGCTTCATCGTTATAACTCTAGGTTGATGAAATACACCTGAAAACAGGCCAATGTTTTTGGAGGAGGGCCAGGTTTTTGCCCACAGGCTGCTATTTTCCAACCTTAGAGTTTATTGATCAAAATAAAATATAATGTGATGATAAATGAATATGTTCAATTACTTGTTAATTTGTCACTTGTCATATATTGAGTCAAATACTTGAGAGACATTCATGGTCTGATAAATCCTACTGACTGAGGCTGACACTTTGTTTTGTACTGACATATCTTGACAACTGTTGAATTGATTACCAAGAGACTTGGTACTAGGCTTCAGCTGCAACGTCAGAAAATTGATTGGTATTATAATTGGCAATTTTGATTATTGATGTTTGAGTCATTTTTAAAAAGAAATAATGAATATCTATTTGATCTGGTTCCAGCGTCCCAAATGTGGATATTTTGTGGTTTCCTTTTATGTAAAAACCCTTTTGGATTATTGTCATACGAAAAATACCTTTGAAGACCTGGATTGTGGTGGAAACGAAGGGAATAAAGTGTGTCAGGTGATCGGCTCTTCTGAATGGCGTGTATAGAGATCGCCAGTCAAACTAATGGGAGTGAACATCAGCCGATAACGATCAGAGGGTGATCAGTTGGACCACCCTTAGTGGAAACTATGACGAACATTCTTTACACAAAAATGATTAATCGAGAAAATATTTGACAGATTAAACGATAATGAAAATAACAAATAGTAGCATCTCAACTACAGACAAGTCGCCAGAGGATTAGCTGTACTTCATGTTTAGTGGTAATTAGGGAACATGATAAACATCATACCTGCTTAACATCACAATGTCGTGAACATTATCATAATGAGCATGTTAGCATGCTGAGTGTGACTGTGTCTAAGTGCAGCCTCACAGAGCTGCTAGCCTGGCTGTAGGCTCAGCCTACATTAACACTCCAAGCCTTACCACTCAATCCTGATTTATTGCTCAGATCAGACTTTTTTGGTTTTGTTTGGCTGTTCACATTATTTTTAAAATGTGGCCCATATCCGATTTCAGTGTGAACAGGTCATGTCCTGAAGTGACCTGCATGACCAATGTAGATCTAACGTGATATAAAAGTCACATGAAAACTGCCTGTTCACACTGATGTCGCAGTGCACAAAATCAGACCATATCTGATTTGGACCACGTATGAAAGTGGCCCAAATCAGAATTGAAAAGCTCCAATTCTATGTGATTTGTGCTGTTCACAAGAAAAGAAAAGAACCAGTCACATATGAGCAAAAAGGCCACTTGTGACTGCAGTGTGGATGTTCCCAAAATAAAATATTGTTCTACAAAACTGAGGATGTTATTTTACAGGTAGAAAGCTTTCATGCTGCCTGTAACGTATCAACAAAATCTAATAATTCTGTCTGCTTCATGTTGTGTTTTGTTAGTGAGGCTGTACAGTTTCACACCCTCATTTTCCAACATGTCCGCTGTGATGAGCTGCTCTGGACCACCATCACATAGTTTTTTAAATATAAAATAAACTGTAGGCTGCTGTGGATCACTTCTGGCTCTGCAGTACATGCAGTGATGGCTGTAATGCCATCCTTTTGATTCGCCCTCTCAGCAGTATCACACAGCGTATTCATGGCAGAGCTATCTCCACTAAGTGAATATCTCAGGGTGTTTGATATTCCATGTTGATACTCTTCAATTTTTATGATACAAAACATGTATTCTGAGTTTCTCCATATATTTCTTTTATTATTTTCAGCATGGAGAGCCTCTGAGAACACATTTACAGTAGAGGATCATGGGAAATCTCTCCATGG